AGGTATCTTTGATAGGCAGGATGTGCACCTGCTGGTGTGGGACAGGCCTGCTGTACAAAATCAAAGGCACAAGCCCAAGGGTTGAGCCGCTCCATTTTGTAGAGTAGGGAAGGTTGCCATGGGTGCAGAATGGTGCAGATGACATGTCCTGAAGGATCCTTCAGATATATATATATATATAATATTTTATAATTAGATTTATATATATATATACAAATAATATATATATATAATTGTTTTATTTAATGTATAATAAGTCAATAAGTGTATACAGAAGATTTAGAAGATTGACCCTGCATTCCGGGTACTTGGCGGAATCAGCCAGCCAGCCACATATCAAAGTACCCGGCGGAATCAGCCAGCCAGCTAGCTAAAAAGTATCCGGCGGAATCAGCCAGCCAGCCAACTATCAAAGTATCCGGCGGAATCAGCCAAGCAAAGTATCCGGCGGAATCAGCCAGCCAGCCACCAAACGTACCCGGCGGCTGGCGGAATCAGCCACCAAAAGTACCCGGCGGCTGGCGGAACCAGCCACCTAAAGTATCCGGCGGAATCAGTCAGCCAGCCACCTGTCAAAGTATCCAGCGGAATCAGCCAGCCAGCCAGCAACTTCTCAAAGTATCCGGCGGAGTCAGCCAGCCAGCCAGCAAAGTATCCCGCGGAATCAGCCAGCCAGCCACCAAAAGTACCCGGCGGCTGGCGGAATCAGCCACCTAAAGTATCCAGCGGAGTTAGCCGGTAGGCAGCCAGCAGAAGTATCCGGCGGAATCAGCCAGCCAGCCACCTATCAAAGTATAGCCATTAAGCCTAGGCTTCGTGGGGAGTACAGCCATTTGACAGGCGTCCAAAAGCGCGTCAGAAAAACAGTCTTGACATGTCTTGACTATTCTTGACTTTTGTTGATGATTTTCATGCGCATTCATCTTCACTACCAAATGAGTAGGCCTTTGCAGGCCGCGCCCCATTTTGTAGCAATCAGTGACCTTGGCCCCCCATTTTGTATAATTGGCCTATCCCTTCCCTACAAAATGAGTCCATTTTTTTGGGAGTCATTTTGTAGGGATGGGACGTTGGTCGCTGACATTTTGTAGTGATTTTTACTACCAAACAGGGACCCCGACCCCTCACCCTAAATATCAACGGGGATGCGCGTACTGCGTTCACAGACCATATTGCTCGACACCAGCGAGCATCGATGCAACACAGCCTCTCTGCAAAGCCCTGTGGAGAAACCCCTCGCGTCGCGAAACACCATTCGACTCAGCCTTATACCCTAGCGTGGCGAAATCTTACCGCATCGTGGAGCACACCCACCATAGCGTGACGTCCATCCCTGGCAGTACCGGCCGCACCCCTCCAGCACTATCCTTACAAGGGGGTTGGTCACTGAGTCACTGCGGCTTCGACGCAACGCGTGCAGGCCTGTAATCCTGACACAGTGCGTGCAGCTGTGGGACCATAGCTGGTACACATGCGAGCGTGTACGCATTGCGACTTTTACGCGCGCCTGTTTTCACACACCTAGACACAAATGAGCGTCGACGCAACGCAGCCTCTCTGCAGAGCCGTGTGGCGCAATCTGACCGCAACGGTGTTCCTCTTGAGCCTTCTTATGCCTTCTTGTGCTCTCTGGCTTTGTTGGTTTCATCCATGATTGACCAAGGGGCACGTTCCTGAAACACCGGAGACAGTCCCTCACCAGAAAAGGTCCCGACAGCTACCCGGTCCGTCTCTACCTTTCGTGTTTCCCCGCTCAAGTACTACACCTGCAACGAAATCTGCACTTCAAGGTCCACATAGTCTTGCGCCTGCCACGCTATCGGGACTCCAAGGCCTCAAGGCCCACAAAGTCCTGCGCCTGCCACCAACTCTGCATTTCCACATTCCAAAAGTCCTTCACCTGCCACGAAATCTGCACGACAAAGTCCTTCGCCTGCCACGAAATTTGCACTTCAAGGGCCACAGAGTACTACACCTGCCACGAAATCTGCACTTCAAGGTCGACAAAAAGTCCTGCGCCCGCCACGAAGTCTGCATTCCAAGGCCCAAAAAGTCCCTCACCTGCGACCGACTCTGCACTTCAACATTCGCAAAGTCCCGCACCTGCCACGAAATCTGCACTTCAAGGTCCACAAAGTCCTTCGCCTGCCACGAAATCTGCACTCCTCTGCCCTTCCACATCCACAAATTCCTGCACCTGCCCCAAAATGTGCATTGCCAGGTCCACAAAGTACTGCACCTGCCACGAAAGACGAGAAACACGCAAACGATTAAAATCACCAACAAAAACCAAAATAAATACGAACCCTTTTAAGAGTCTTTTGGCCCTGTCTTGGGCTTTGGAGCTCCTTCGCCTCAGTGGTTTTCTCAACTGGCTCAGAAGCATCAGGCGCCTTTTCCTGTCCTTCCTTCTTGACCTCAGGTTCGTTTTCTTCCTTCTCCGCTTCAACTTTCCGAGCCTTTGGCTTTGGGCCTTTTGCTTTCGCAGCGGGGCTTTCGTAGCTGGTTTTTTGAGAGCCGGCTCTTCTTCCTCCTCCTTCTCCTCCTTCTTCTCCCCTGCTTTTGTCTCAGCACCTTCTTTGGTCTCAGGAGCCTCCAGGGCTGCTTTTTCTTCTGCATCCGCAGCAGCCAATGCCACCGCATCGGCAGGCTTTGGAATTCCAGGACAAATGTTGAATAATCAAAGGGAATTGCAACCCATAGGAATTCACAACCATGGAAAACATCAGAAAGGGAACGCATCTCTCGATTCCATTCTGAAAGGAAACGGAAAAAGGAAAACGTCCCCAGAAGGAAGACGTCTCTCAGAAAAGAAACATCCCTCAGACCCTCAGAATGGACGCCAGTAAAGCGCAGAAAGGAACACACCTCTCAGGACAAACATCTCTCAGAAAGATACGCGGTGAAAGGAAAACCCGCTAGAAAATGCCTTTTCCTTTTCTCCATCAATATATACTATCCACTAGTGATTTGGGACTTGTGAAGTGACTGTGCAAATTGCAAAGTTCCATCTCATGTGTTTCCAAATGTGTCCACAACTCCCATCTCATCGTGCATTTACCAAGAACACCAGGGGGTAGCTGAGCCTATCTCTTTGAAATGATGTATTCCAAAGGGGGCACTGGTGAGAGGGGAATTGGGGGCACTCCCCCGTCCCCACCCCCCCCCAAAAAAGGTTTTAAGGAGTAGTAGAGCTCCTATCTCATGTGCTTTTTGAATGGTTTCAGTCAACGTTTCGCAGACACATGTGCCAGGACTTGTGCAACAAACAACTTATCTCATAATTGGCACAACTCCTAACTCACCTGGGGGTAGTATATCCAAAAGCGGTTCAGCCAAACCGTCCCGTCCAGACCTAAATTTATATCAGGCCTCACTTCAACATGTAGATCACCATGGCACGCTGAAACCAATGCCACTGACTATGTAGCCCTGGGTGCTTCAACAAAAGATTTGCCGTTTGCTCCATTTCCTTTCGCATCAAGGACACGCATGGATGCACTGGATCCTCAAGCTCCTCCCAGCCATCGGCAGGAGAAGGCGCCCTTTCGAACTTCCATGGGACATCCTGCTCACCATTTTGGATCATCACCCGCACCATTGCTAGGGATAGGGACATTGAGGAAAAGACATTTTCAGCACCTGTGGCTGATCTGCAGCCAAGAAGTGCTGTATGCATTTCCTCAAATCTGCTAGCTGCCTCCCATCCGCCATGATGCAATCGCAGCGTTTTGTGGTGGCGCCTTTGGCGGTGGCGTTTACAATGGGTTTCCATCGCCCGCGCACCCCAACAGGTTAGTAAATGGGCAGGCGCAGCGTTTTATGCCGGTGTCACCTGTGCCTGCGGCGTTTGCAAGTGGTTTGGGGGGCCTCCGCGCCCAAGAGGTCAATGGGCAGGCTATGTTTTACGACGGTCCCCGGTTTCAGTGGCCCCTTTTACAGGTTACATTCCTTCCTTCGCTAGTTCACGATTTCATTCAGGCGCTCATTCCAACACACCGAACTTGCAGTCCAGAAAACAAAAAACATCGTGAAGGTGAGAAGACATTCAAAAGTCACTGAGGCTCAGGGCGTTCATCTGGAAGCCGGTCAAGACGCTCCATGCGCCCCCGGTTAGGCTGCAGAAAGACATCGAAGATGAGCAGGCAAGCGACAAGTGACAAGAAACTGCATTCCTCTACGCAAGACAAAACTCATCGCACAGCCCTTGAGAAGGCGCGCTACAGGAAAACAGCGTTGCACCTCACAAAAAAGAACGGGTCATGATTGCTTTCATCTCCCGAGCATGAACTTTGCAATGCTCTGACATAGTGGCTGCAACAGAACAAACTCACTTGGCCCAAAACAAACTCATGTCGAAAGAAATGGACAAATTATCTTGAGGCACTCCTCTCTCTCGCTCTCTCTCTCTCTCACTCACTCACTCACTCACAGTGCGGGAACAAAAAACATGCCTACCACACACACGCATATAGCTTTCGAAACCTGAGAAGAATCACCACAAAAGAGAAAAACACACACTTGACAGCTTGGAAACAGACTATTGATATCCTATAAAACATCATAACAGACTAGGAAATAGCCTATTTAGTGTAATAGGAAATTTGATCTTATCATCATACATGGTCCGGGTTGGGGACCAGGCGTAGATGCTGGCTGCTGCGGCCTCATTCCCGGCGTCCCATGCTCCCCCTCGATGTCTGCGCTCCACCCTCCTCGACAAGAAGACTGGCGCGCTCCGCCCTGCCCGGCCGGCGTCGTGGCGGATCCTCCCCTCACAGAGGTCCTCCCGCTCTCGGGGTCCTCCACCCCGAGCTGCCTCCCTGAGCCGGCTCTGTACATACTAGTGTGCATTGCGTGAGTGGGAGGCTGTTTTGTGGCAGCGGAGGGTAAAAGCATTGTGTTTTTTGGTCATTGCTGCGCAGCATGCCACTGTGGCTTACATATGTTGACATTGGTTTTCACATATTTTTTCCAAACGGTATCGGCTCATCCGGGTGAGTGCCCCATAGCCTGGTCGGGTTTCATCGCCTGCTCGTTCAGCAAGCCTAGCTCCACAGCCATGCCGTTGCGGACAGCGTTGACAGAAATGTTGGGCATCGAGCATCCCATAATCCAAGGAGGCAAGGCATCATTCAGGGCTGACGGCCGGACTCGTAAAGCCAAAACACATCAAATCTTTACATGCGTGGTTGATGATTACCCTTTGTGCAAGTAGTTGGCTAGTTAGTGAGTCAGTCGGTATTAATTAGTTAGTTAGTTCGTTTGTTCGTTAGTCAGTTAGTTGGTTCGTTAGGTAGTCAGCTAGTTAGTCAGTCAGTTAGTCAGTTAGTTACTGTGCTAGTTAGTTGTTTTGCTAGTTATTCCCCACCTGTCAGGTGAGGGTTGTTAGATTTTACGTCAGCCCCATCTCCTCCTCCTCCTCCTCCTTCTCCTCCTCCGCGCCCTCCTCCGCCTCATCCTCCTCCGCCGGACCTCAACCACGACCATCCACGCCCAGTGTTCCCTGCCGGACCTCAACCACGACCATCCACGCCCAGTGTTCCCTGCCAGACCTCAACCACGACCATCCACGCCCAGTGTTCCCTGCCGGACTTTCAACCGCGAGCTCCAGACCCAAGTGTTCCCTGCCGGACCTCAACCACGACCATCCGCGCCCAGTGTTCCCCGCCGGACCTCAACCGCGACCATCCGCGCCCAGTGTTCCCCGCCGGACCTCAACCACGACCATCCGCGCCCAGTGTTCCTTGCCGGTGTTCCCTGCCGGACCCCAACCGCGAGCTCCAGGCCCCAGTGTTCCCTGCCGGACCTCAACCACAGCACACAACCACAACCACAATCACACGCACAACCACAAACGCAACTACAGACACACAAACACAAACACAAAAAACAACCACAAACACAACCACAAACACACAACCACAAACACAATCACAAACGCAACCACAAGCGCAACCACAAACACACAATCACAAACACACAACCACAAACACAACCCAAAACGCACAACCACAAACACAAACACACAACCACAAACACAACAAGCAACACACAACCACAAACACAACAACAAACACACAACCACAAACACACAACCACAAACACAACCACAGACTCACAACCACTACCATTACGACGACGACACCGACGACGACGACTACTACTACTGCTAACAACTGCCACTACTACTACTACTTCTTCTACTACTACTCTACTACTACCACTACTACCACCACGACGACAACTACTGCGACTCGACGACGACGACTACTACTACCACTACCACTACTACTACTACTACCACTACTACCACTACTACCACTACTACCACTACTACCAC